TGTCCTTCACGCTCCTCTTCCTCCGCTCGCCTCTTGAAAGAGGAGTTCTTCCGGTCCACCACCTAGACCCCCTTCTCTTCTCCCTCTAGACCATCTTCCTGATGCGCCTTCGCACTCCCCGGCCCCTGTACCAGCTGCCCACCGGGCCTCTGTAGCTCCTCCAGGAAGCTGCAGACTCCAGGCCCCTAGCCGAATCCATCGCTAGGCCCCATCTCCATGAGAGGCTCGGCCATCACCCAGCCAGGTAGGGGCGGGGCCCCGACACCCCACCATCAAGGTGTTGCTGACTTTATCAGCTCCACCACGGCCCCTATGGGAGGGGAACTCTCTCTCCTGGAGCCTTCTCGTTCTCTGGGTTTGCCCTTAAAGGTCATCTCCCAGGCTGGTGCGAGCAGGGCACTCGCCTTGCACATGACCAGCCAGGTTTGCTCTCTGTCCCCAGAGCACTGGGTGTGGCCTCAAAGTCAAAAACCGAATAAAGGCCATGCCCTGGACCAGAGAGCTGGCACACTGGGTGAGGCACCTGCCCTGCTTGTGGCTGACCCAGTTAATCCCTGGTCCCACAGAGGACCCCTCTTAGCCCTGCCAGGAGTGACCCCTGCGCAGTCACGTGGGACCCCCAAATAAAAACTGCTTTCCTAAGTCATTTCCTGCGGGTGACCCAGTGCTTGTTCTAAGCCTCTAGCATACAGCTCCTGGCCCCAGGGGCCCACCCGGAGGCAGGCTCGGGGAGCCGCTAAGCTTCCACACGGCCTCACGCTCCTGTTCTCAGGGCTCTCCTTCCGTCCCCTCAGGAACAGCTCTGCTGCCTAGCCCCTGGGAAGTGTGTCAGAAACCTCAAGAACCCTGAGAGTCGCAGGGGCAGGGGCAGGGGCCGCACAACCAACCTCATGCCATGCCAACCTCGGTCACTCACGTGTTCTTGCCTTTTTGGACCTCATCTTGGGTGTGGGGGGGTAGGGGCAGGGCAGCGGGCAACAAGGGACAGGGAGATCTCCCTCCGCGACGTGGGCCCGTTTCCCTCCGAGTCCGACTCCGTGCTCCCCCTTGGCCTCTGGTTTGCCTGGCCACGGGCACCTCCGTCCGAGGCGCAGGCTCTGCGTGCCCAATGGCGGTACGGAAAACTCGCCGAGACTCCGGCAGGCCTCGGCGTCTCACTGGCGGGAGCTGACTTCATTTCCCCTGACCCCGAATCACCCTCGTGGGGTGAGCGCCAGTCACGGCGCTTCCGATGCCCGGCCCCCGGCCCCCACCAGCCTCTTCCTGATTACAAAAGTTGCACACACTCTTGGGGGGGGGAGGGAGGGAGAATGTGGACAATATGCCAAGTCATAAAAGGATCGTTATAAACATCTTGGAATGTTTCCTACCAGGATTTTCCCACCCTAGATACGTGTTTTAAATCCGAATTCCCCCCCCCCCCCGCTTAACATAATATTCTACTATTTTGTGTTACTAATGTAACTTACTTCTTTTTAATTCAAGTATTACATTTTGTACGTGGGGGGAAGAAAATGCTGAATAGGAAAAAAAATTAAGAACATTTGCTGGGGCTGGAGAGATAGTACAAGTACAGTTGAAGGGGCTTGCCTTGCACATGGCTGACCTGGGTTCGACTGACCTTGACCTCCCTATGGTTCCCCAAGCCCCTCCAGGAGTGATGCCTGAGTACAGAATCAGGAGTAAGGCATCACTCATGGAGGTGCTCAGGGGACCAAGTGGTGCCAGGATCAGACTGGGGTCAGCTGGCCGCAGGCAAATGCCTTGTCCTATCTCTCTACTACTGGTTTGTCTTCCCAGTTTTAGAAATTCTCTCCACCCCATGTATTGTGGGGTGAAGACAACTGATTGACAATTGATTAAATGAATCACAACATTCTTTTGGGGGGAGGGGTTGGGGGCCACACCTGGCGGTGGCTGGAGGCTACTTGGCTCTGTGCTTGGGGATCCAGGGACTGACTCTGCTCTCCCACACGCAAAGCCTGAGCTCAGCAGAGAGCAATCTCCCTGGCCCGGACACTCAAGGTTTGTTTCAGAAGAAATCTGGGGCCGAAGCCTCCGTGAATCAGAGCAACAACCAAAGAGCATTTCTCAAGTCTAAATCTGTGCACAGGGGTGGAGCACATGCTTTGTAGGTAGAGGCCCTAGGTTCATGGTCTCTTGAGCACTGAACCGGGAGTAGTCAAACACAAGCCTGAAAGTAGTCCCCACCCCCCAGAGCACTGCTGGGTGTGTCACCTCCTCATGAAAAAGAACATCTGAGAGGCCAGAGAGTACCACAGAGCGGTTGCCTTGCACACAGCTGACCCCCCTTCAGCCCCTGGTAGCCCCGAGCACCGGCAGAAGGGGTTCCTGAGAGAAGCGCCAGAAGCCAGCCCCACCCAGCACCAGGTGGGCGTCCCCCACCACCAGAAGAACATCAGTTTGCCCCTGCATGGTGGAACTCTGAGAGGGAATGCGCGAAGGTGCCGCCGGGGAAGGACCACCACCAGGAGACACGGTTAGTCGGTAAGCGGGGCCCTGGGTAAGCCATGCACCGTCACTGGACGTTTCAAATAGAAACAACGCACAACGAAGCCAAGAGTTCCCCAGATGCCGCGTCCCTCGAAGCCAGCGAGAACATGACCTCCCTCATGGGAGAGCTCCGGCTGCCTGCTCTGAACGCGGGCCTGGAGTCACGGCCTGAGCTTCTCTGCAACCCAAGTTCAAATACTACGGCAAAGGGAAGCCACATGTAGTGGGGAGGGGAGGGGAGAATCCCCAGCTGGTGCCGCCCTGAAATCTCACTTCCCAGATACGGGGGCACTTTGTCAATTCCGTGGGAAACACCCCGGGAGTACTCGGTAACTCGGTAAACATCAGCCCCACAGCCAGCGTCACTCGGCTAACCTCCTTGTTTATACAGAGGGGGCAGGCAGCCCCATTTACTACCTATCTCGGTGGGGGAAGCCTCCCAAGCAGTGCTCAGGGGGCACTCCCGATGACACGCAGCCCAGTGGGGGTATGGGTCATGCTAGGGACCGCTCAGGGCTCTGCAGTGCTGAGGGGACGGGGGATCTCCATGGCCACACCCAACAGTGCTCCGGGGTTCAAAGCATAGCGTCTGACCACTAAGCCACCTTCCTGGCCTCCATGTTCTGGGTCACAAACAGGGGTGCTTGGGGGTCCCTCCCAGCAGTGCTCAGGGGACCGAACTAGGGAGCTATGTCCCTGGCCCCTCAGAGGGCACCTTATGCTCTGTTACAGGCAGGTGGCAGTCAGAACTGTGGTGACACAGCAGCCCCGGCCCACTGGTGCGCGACTCTGTGGCCAGCACAGTCAGCACACCCCTCTCCTTCCTCACCTCTCGAGGAACCGGCTTGGGCCAAAGGCAAGCAAGACCCGGCGCAAACCAGCAAGTGCTGCCTCTATGTCCTGCCCTGCACCCACCTGGATGCCCTCGGAAGGAGACAGAGGACAAGAGCAGGACAAAAAACGACAGAGGCAGGCGGGACTCGGGGACTAGGCTGGCCAGGAGAGTGCTGGGAAGGTGTCACAGCAGAGTGCCAGGACCACCCCTCACCCGAGACACACACACACACACACACACACACACCGAGGCCAGCTACGCGGGATCTCCAGGACCACCCCCCACCCGAGACACACACACACACACACACACACCCTGAGGCCAGCTACGCGGGATCTCCAGGACCACCCCCCACCCGAGACACACACACACACACACCCACCCACACACACACACACACACACCCTGAGGCCAGCTACGCGGGATCTCCAGGACACCCCCCACCCGAGACACACACACACACACACACACACACACACACCCTGAGGCCAGCTACGCGGGGTCTCCAGGACCACCCCCCACCAGACACACACACACACACACACACACACACACACACACACCCCTGAGGCCAACTACGCGGGATCTGCAGGACCACCCCCCACCCGAGAGAGAGAGAGAGAGAGAGAGAGAGAGAGAGAGAGAGAGAGAGAGAGAGAGAGAGAAGCTACGCGGGATCTGCAGGCTCCCTGCCAGCCCAAGCTGGAGCCTACATGGAAGTGTTCCTGAGGGACGCACCCCTCCGGGAACCAGGTCTCAGACCCACAGCAAGGCAGCAGCTGCCTCGATGCCTGGACAAAGTCTCCTCGCCCCCAGGGAGGGAGGTGGCAGGGCTGGCCTTGAGGGATCGGAGTCACGGCCGAACGGCGGGGCTCCTCCTACGGAGGGTGCTTCCCCCATGCCCACAGAGAAGCGAGCCCGTCTGCTTCCACGACAAAGCTGAAGGAGAGGGTCACAGGAGCCGTCTACGGGGACAACGTGGCATCTGCCTTCCCGGGCCCCGGGGCTGGTCCCTCCTGGCCCTCCCACTGAGGGGCAAGGGGGTACATGAGGCTCGGCCAATGGTGGCGCCCGGACCAGCTGTGCTAAGTGGGGTGAGCACGTTTCCCGTTGCAGCCCAGACGCCATCAACGGCAGGCACGGTAGACAGCACTCCCCGCTCCCCCTCCACCCTCTGGGGTTTCACTGAGCCCCCAGAGTCACTCCAAGGCCCCTTTACAAGTCCCATGCAGAGCTGCTAATTCAGCAGATGGGCTATGCACACCGGCCAGTGGGGACTGCGGCTTCCATGAGAAACTCTCCCGGTGCCTGAACAGCCAAGTAAGGAGTTCAGAGGGTTGAGAAGAACAGAAAATGAAACCTGCTGGCGGGTGCGGGGAACATCGGGGGTGCTGGAGACTGAACCTGGGTCAGCCATGTGCAAGGCAAGAGTCTTATCCACTGTACTATCTCTCTGGCCCCATGAAAAAAGCATTATTCTGGGGCTCGGGAGATCTGGTCACTGGGCTACAGCACAGGATTTGCACGTGACAGCACCAGGTTCGACCGCGAGCGCCACAGTTTCCTAAGTATCACAGCTCCCCAAATAACCCCCCCAAAAGATAGGACCATTATGAAAATGAGCGTTGCAAATACCAATGCCAGATTTCCGTAGAAAGCAGAAAAATAAATTTATTCCAGAACATGGCAGAAATAAGAAATTTGACCTGAACAAGATACTTTGGTGTGTGAGTCTGTGGGGACAGATGCTATCCGCTCCCCGTCACCTCCGGGACCTGACTGTCCTGTAAGTTCCCAACGCGTGGCGAATTCTCGAGCAGGAGCTGGCAGAGGGCAGCTTCCGAGCCACAATTCCCAGGAGAGGGGGAGGGTTTCTCAGGAGCCCAGCACCTTCCATTCCAGGAGAGCACGTCACCAACTCACGGAGGTCGTACTGTTTCGGCGAAGTAGGCACATCGTTGGTCGGAGAGTAAGAAGTAAGGCAACAGGGCAAACACTGCACCGGAGAGAGAGAGATCGAGTCGGACGTGGCGCCAGTGTCCAAGGCGGCTGACGGCCACAGCAGGCGAGGCGGGAAGGCGGTGTGGTGTGAGGCAACCGGAGAAGAAACCTCTTCGGGTCCTGGAAAAATAAAAAGCCGTTGGAGTGGCTGTCCTCAAGAGGGCAAGCGCCGGGCATGAGACGGGCAATCGGGCCAGAGTGGGCACCTCCACTGCGCAACGCGGGTAGGGAGCAGTGGCCCCAGCGACCTTCGCAAGGCCCCCAAGGGGAAGACAGGAGAGAAGAGGAGGAAGGGGGAGACGCACAGCCCGCCCGAACCCTACGAACTCTAAGGTGCTTTGGTGCTTTGGTTTAGAGAAACCCGTCACTCGCTCTCGGCCCCTTCCAGCGAGACAGCCACGTCCTCACAGGCTGAGCTTTGCCGAGCTCTGACTCCTCAAGGTCACGCTCGCTCGCTCCCTTTCTTGCCACAAGTGTAGGTGACAAAGCCTCAGGCTGCCACAGAGCCCTGACAGGGCTCGCGAACAGTTCAAGGATCTTTCTTTACACACCAGCGGCTGCACAGAAATGCCTCTTCCTACAGCCCAGAGCTCAGCGTCCACGTACGTAAAGCGCTTTGTTGCTCCCGAAAAGAACCCCCCAGTGGAGACAGGACCCTCGTGTGTCCTGTCATGTGTCCGAAGGCGTCTCTACATCAAGATTTCGCTGGGCTCAGGACAAGCCTGCCACCCTGCCAGGGCAGACACGGGAGGGGACGGGCCCCGTCGGCTCAGTGCCCTCAGGACAGAGACGGTCATGGGCCTGGAGAGAGGGAAGTGGTGGGCCTGAGGGCCGAGGAGTCCCTGAGCGGGCCGGGCCGGGGCAGCACAGCCAGTGGGCGCGCGCGGGCCTCGCCACTCGGCTCCCCTCCCAGGCCAGAGCCCTGCCCGCCGCCGGCTCCCAGGCTCTCCATGAGCACGCGACGGCAGGAGCTGCGGTGTCTGGGGGGAACGTCCAACGGGATGTGTTCCGGGAAGCCTTCCCTACTCTTCAGGCCTCTTTTCATCAACGAACGATCAGAAAAGGGAAAACAAAGGTTGCTTTTTGAAACAACACATAAAACCAGGCGGTAAGCGGGCTGAATGCCGGCACTTCAAGAACTGTGTGGGCCGGGGAAGTGACTCAGGGCACAGCATGGGCTGGACCCTCTCCACCCCCCAGCCAACGCCATAGGGACTCCCCCCAACAATAAAATAAGTAACTGTACAAGGCATATTCGATAACACGGATTGGGAGTTTGATTCTTCTTAGGGGGTGGGGGCCTGGGGGATCCACCCAACAGAGCTCATTCCAGGGGCAGTGCGCAGGGCGGAGACCAAAGCCACATACACCAACAATCTGGAGGCTGGAGTGTGTGGGTGGGGAACGCGACCGGAGTCCAAGCGTGCGTCCCGTCGGAGAAAGGAAGCCAGACGGCCACTTTCAGGTACAGCCAGAGACTGAAAGATAAATCCATCAAGGCCAGGACCCGGAAATCTGTCCAGGGATAAATGACGGGATATGTCTTGGTCAAAGGAAGGTTTCGTTTTCTCCTTGGGCCACACCCAGTGGTGCTCAGGACTCACTCCTGGCTCTGTGCTCAGGGATCACTCCTGGTGGAGCTCGGGAAACCATAGGAGGTGGCAGGGATTGAACCCGGGAAGGTGGCAGGCAAAGTAATTCCCTGCCCACTGTACTAGCTATCACTCAGGCCCCCGGGAAGGTTTCATTTTTATCTTTATTTTTCATTTTAGATAAACACACAGTCATGTCTTCTTTACCCTCATGGGTAAGGCTGTATTTACTGCGGGGGTTTTACTCCGAGAGACAGGGAATTTAACTCCGGATGCCTCAGCAGACACCAAGCTGAACGCCAACCTCCAGGAGCCTGGGGACATTTAGGGACGTTAGAATCTGTGAAATCAAGGTCAGGAGAGGAAATGCAAGATTGGCAAGTTGGACACCAGAAAGAACTGAGTGGACGAGCAGAGATAGGAGAGCAGAAAGAATATCTGCAGATCTGTGGCTCCTAATCTGTTTTCTAAATCTGCACATGTCCTGGGGTGGCGAGAGGCAGGAAAAACGAATGAGGTCAAGAATGTGCAAATAGGGGCTGCAGAGACAGTGCGGTGGTAGGCCGACCCCGGGTTTGATCCCCTGCACCCCATAAGGGCCCCTGAGCAGGGCCAGGAGTAATTCCCAAGTGCAGAGTCAGGAGCAGGCTCTGAGCACCTCTGGGATGCCCCACCCACAAAATAAAGGGCAAACAGTAGTGCAGGGCCCAATCCGCGGGTCCGGGAGAGGAGTGAGGGGCAGGCTGCAGGAGAGGGCCAGGGAGAAGCAGACACTGGGCTCCTGGGCCTCTGCTCTCTGAGGTGTGCTGAGGAGTCCGTCACCTCAGGGAAATGCCAGAGCTGGGTCAGGGACCAGGAGCCCCAGCGAAGGAGGCCACGGGATCCATGGATGCCCAGTGAGGAGAAAAGGGCCAGGAAATGGGTCTGGTGGAGGACCAGGGTGGGCGGTCAACCGGGGCGACCCCTGAACACAGAGCCAGGAGCCAACCCCCCACCCCGCCCCGAGACAGGAAAGCTGAGGGCGTGACACTAAGTGACAGGGAAAGCCAAGGTCTCAGGGACCAGAATGGAAACCAGTGCGTTGGGAGAGGCAGGAGACAACACACGTGTTGCCCGCCAAATGTCCTGGCACCACTGTCCACAAACGTGCTTCCACTTTGGCCTCTCAGCCCTTCGTAGCCCCCGCCAGAAATCCTCAGTCACCAGAGAAAGCGCCAGGCACAGCCCCGCCCCCCCCAGAGGGCGCAGGAGGGTAAAAGCTTCCGGCCACGGTGAACCACAAGGGGAGGGGGCGATCAACCCACTCCTGGGGCCCTGGGGCCCGGCCACGCCACTCCAAGGCGAGCAGGGCAGTGCCTGCCTGCCAGGCGTGCAGGCAGGGGCAGCTACCCTGAGGCGTCCGAGCTACCCAGGAGTGGCCACCAAGGACGGTGGCACAGAGAAGGTGCGAGCGGCGCTCGGAGGATCCCGCAGCTGGGGCTCAGCTCACCACGCCCAGCACAGGAAGCAGCTGACAGCAACACAGTGGGCCAAGGGGCAAGTGGGTGCCGTGCCTGAGATCACTATCTTTCCTTCTCCTTGGGGGGCATACCCGGCTGTGCGCAGGGTTGACTTCACTCAGAGCGTACTGCAGGCGGGGCTCTGCCGAGGTCCCCTGACCCGCTGGCCCATCTCTCGAGCCCTCAGCTCAGCTTCACGGTCTCTGCAGAAGACCGTCCGAAGCTTTTCAGGACCGGGCGTCAACTTTCTTGGCCAAACACCACAATGGCTGCACCTCCTGTTTTCCAAGCCTGGCTCTTACAGAAATTGCACACAAAACCAAACATGCCAAGAGGCAAACAAGGCTGGCATCCACAGTCCGTTATCCACAGTGCCGGGCAAGTTCCTAAGGGAACTGGCTTGCTCGTTTTGATTTTATCACCAAGAAGGGAGGCTCGACCTTGGGAGCTCTGCCCGCCCCAGCGCCAGCCAGGCAGAGAGGAGAGCTCTTTGTCTGCCGCCTCCCCGGGCCTGGCGTGACGGTCCCACTGATAGCCAGACCTCAGATACGGAACAAATGTGACTCGATGTTCCCACTGAGGTCCTGCCTGGCTGGGTCCTCCTACGTGCTGATATTTAGGGGCTCGTTTTTGTTCGTTGGATTTTTGGGCCACACCCAGCAGTGCTCTGGGCTTACTCCTGGCAGGCTCAGGGGATTGAACCTGGCCCCGCGGGAATTTTGCTTTTAAATGAAAAAGTGAATCCTAAGGGTTTCAGGCAGTCCAGCCAGTGCTGGGGACCCCAGTACAAACATCAGAAATCAGGGCAGAGGACATGAGACCAAAACTAATAACCCAAAGAGGGGCCAGAGCTATAGTGGGCTGGTGGGGCGCCTGACTTACACACCGCCGACCTGGGTTCGATCCCCAGAGCACCACAAGGAGTCATTCCCGAGTGCGGAGTCAGGAGTAACCCCTGAGCATCACCTGGTGTGACCCAAAGACTAAAAAACAAAAACAAATGACTCAAAGAACCAGAACTGCCAGGCCCACGCCCCGCAGTTATGCAGGCCACGGGGCCCACTTCTCTGTAAGGGAAGAAATGGGCCACGAGGTCTGAAGAAAGGGAATCCTGGAAAGAACGAAGCCTGAGGCCTGAAGTCCTCAGCTCTAAGCCCCAATCAACATGCTTCTCTAGGTGGCAGGACAGAAAACAGAGCTTGGTGGCTGAAACACACACACACACACACACACACACACACACACACACACTTCAACTGTGTGTACGAGGTTCACTGAGCAGTGGCAGAAACAGGTCCTAGGGATCACCAGATCCAAAAACCCCACAAACGCCTACACATATAAAAAGCATACATATATACATTAATGGCTTGCAAAAATAAAACATGGGAAGAACAGACTTCTCTGAATATACCTAGCTTACAATTTTAACTTTGGAAATATGTCCTTTTACGAATAAATAAGTTACTCTAAACTGAACACAAACTAGAACAAACCTAATTATAGGCCAGTTATGGGTCAAACTGATAACCGGTAGAGGAAGCAATTTCTTCCAGTGATGCTTTCTTTAAAACAGTAAAGAAACGATCTAATCCGCATTTAACATTTAATAAACTCTTAGTTTGTAGTTATATCGGTACCCTTCTGAAATTATTTTGTATGTACTGTAGGATGATTACAGCAAATAACTGAATCACTGTTTTTTAAAACCAAAACTTTTCAGCATATGTGAATAATATTCAAGTACATAAATCAAAGAAATCAAAATGTTTCATTTGAATTAGAGAAATGAAAATGAATTTGTAATTCTTTTTCCGAAAGTGCATCTTCCTGTTTCTTTCCGCTGAAGTGCTCAAAACCAACAACACAACAGCCATCAGAAACAGATGCACCTAGAAATCAATTCTTGACTTTCACGTCTGTGTTATCATTTGAGGGGCGGAGGGGGGCGCACCCCCAGATTGATTCGGGGCCCATGTGGTGCCAGGACTAAACCCAGGGTCTCCCGCATGCAAGGCGTGTGCCCGCA